TGCGCAACAAAAACCCGATGAATGTCACTAAGAAGGAAACAAAGGATTGCCCAGTGATGAGCAATGTCCTTGGTGCCAGAGCGTCAGTTTGCCCCAACCTCTCGTGCAATACCTTTAAGTCCAGGTCATGTTGTCACCATTTGGGGGTTTGGGGATTTGTTTACTTGTGCCCAAGAGTGGAGAAAATAACCTGTACTATTGCACAATTCTGGCTCCATGGCTCCTCGCAAATGTGAGATTATAAACACCTTTCTTTATCGTCGACAAGTCATGTTTGTTCCAGGAAACCAGTCTTTGTTCTTAATCGGGCATTTATTTCTGGAAAGAGCTTACCATACGTTCAGTCTCAAACTTGTCAGAAACCTACACTCTTAACTTCACAGATTTAGAGGTATGGTAGGTATGTGATCTCCAAGGATGGCCGCCAACAATTGCCCTCATCCCTCTGTGCACTTGCAATAAGGCCTACTTTTTTCCTCATTGTGGGCTGAACTTGTGACTTATTTTGACTAAGGATGTTATGGAAGCGATATTTTGGCAGCTTCCACTGTTGCTCTTGAAAATGAGCTGACATGTTTCCAAACCAGAAGCTTGGGCTAGATTACTGAATGGTGAGAGACCATGCATAGGAGAACCAGGATGCTCCAGTCATAGCACCAAAACCCAGACTCGGGTCACTTGAAGGTTTCAACCCTGCCAGACTCCCAGCTGAATGCGTACTCGTGAGTGGCCCTTGCTGATACCTCAGGACAATAAAGACATCTAGCCAAGTCCTGTTAACCCAGAAAATTGTCAGAATGCTGTTTTAAACCACACGTTTTGGAATGGTTTGATACATGGCAGTGGAGAAGTGAAACGGGCACTTTGGAAACTAAAGGACTGGAATTCAGTTTGCCCTGTAGGTTTCATTAACTGCCTGTGGTTGGAAGCCAGATGTGCCTAGAGATAGGCTACCACCTTGTACAATTCCAGGGGGCACCGTTCGCGTTCTGTGTAAATGGCAGCCTCAGTCAGTTCATCTCATTTGGTGATTTATCATATCTCACCTGTCAAATTGCTTCTAAGGTAACTTACTGGCCTTGGAATTCGTAGCCATCTCCTTAAGTGGATTAGGAAAAGTGAAGACTCTCTACTGCCTTATTGTCACCCAGGCTGGAGTGCAGTGGTGTGATCACGGCTCACAGCAGCCTCGCCTTCCTGGGCTCCAGCGATCCTACCACTTCAACTTCCAGAGTAGTTGAGACCGCAAGCGTGCGCCCCCTAGCCTGGCTAATTTTTTGTGTTTTTTAGTAGAAACGAGGTTTTGCTGTGTTGCCTAGGCTGGTTTTGAGCTGAGCTCAAGCAATCAGCCTGCCTTGGCCTCCCAAAGTGTTGGGATTAGGAGGTGTGAGCCGCTACGCCCTGCCTTTTTCTGCTGTCAAGATACTGTTTATCACCTGCCTGCTCCAGAATTGATGGGGCTTCTCATTGCTCAGTGGATTAAGTTCATGTTTATCCTGGCTTTCAAGTCTTTCCGTAATCTGACTCAACCTACCTAGCTTTCATCATTCCCTTACACGTAACCTCAACGTGCAACTGGATTAGTCTATAATTCCCTTTCTTGTATTTACTGAGAAAGCCTCCACTCAACATTCCATAAAGTATGTTCCATTAAATACAAAAATACAGGCAAAAAGGGCTCTGTGGCCAAATGAAAGTTGGAAAACAGTGTGTTTCCAAAGTTAATATCAGGCCCAGCATGGTGGCTCTTGCCTATAAGCCTGGCACTTTGGAAGGCTGACAGGGGAGGACCACTTGAGCCCAGGAGTTTTTAGACCAGCTTGGGCAACGTGGGGAGATGCAATCTCTACAAAAAAACTCTCTGGGCGTGGTGGTGTGCATCTGTAGTCCCAGCTACTTGGGAGACTGAGGTAGGAGGACCACTTGAGTCCAGGAAGTCAGGGTCAGCTGAGATCCCACCAGTGCACTCCAGCCTGAGTGACAGACCGAGACCCTGTCTCTAAAAATAAAAAAATAAATACCAGTATGTTTCTTGACTTCAAGATTTCCCAAAACCTTCAGTAGGCTAATGGGCATTGGGGTTTTCCAAGAAGACACAGGATGTAACATTTCCTAAAATGATTTGATCTGGAAGAAGCCTCTTGGACTGGTGTCCTGGGAAACATTTTGGAAATGTTTCCCACCCAAATAGGCCCCTAATTCTGCCTGAGACTTGTCTGAACTATCATGGCATAGACTTAGTATGTGTATGTGAAGTCGAGCCACTGTAGCCCAGATCCTCTCTGTCATTTCCTTTGCAACTTCAAGCAAGTGGCAGAATTGTGGAAAATTCTCTTGCAGTGCCTGCCATATATTCATTCATGTAGTCAGTAAACAAGTTCCCTTGGGCCCACCAACTAGGCAATTAGTTGAGTCTGGGGAACCAGTATAAACCCTGTCTAAAAAGGGGCCTATATCCCGGGAGCTGAAAGATGAGTTAGCAGGGTGGGGGCCATATGGAGTAGAGGGACTGGGGCAGTGTCCAGATCCAGAAGCAGGCCAGCATTTATGTGTGTCTGAGAGGCCCTGGTGACAAGTGTGACAGGTGACGACAGAGGAGAGGGACTAGAGAGCAACAGGGCCCTGGAGATTTCGCAAGAATGTCAAGAATGCTAGGACACCGTTGGACTCTGGCCAACAAGGGATGGACATGATCCTAGTTCCCATTTTAAAAGGTCACACTCTGGTGGACAAAGGCTGAGGGTGGCTGGCTGGCAGGAGGGTGGAAAGCAAGGAGGTCTGCCAGGCTACTGCCCTCCAAACAAGGGAGGAAGGTGGCTGGTACTAACAGTGACGGGAAAGATGGCAAGAAGTAGGTGGACTCAAGATAGATTGTAGAGGGTTCAATAGCTAGGGGATAATGAGATGTGAGGAATTGAGGGGAAGCCCCAGATTTGTAGCTCTAGCAGCTGAGTGCATAGAGGTGCCATTTGCAGAGATGCAGAAGATGATGAAGAGTAGCTTTGGGGCAGTGGATCAAAAGTTCAGTGTATGGACAGGTTGAGTTTGAGAACTATGGGATGTGTTCAGTAAGTCGCAGCTGCTACTACTTATTTCAGTGGTTTGTATTAAGTTTGGCTTTCTAGAGATAGACTCCTTGAGGACAGGAAATGTGAATCCTTTGTCACAATGCTCTCCAGGGACCTCTCATGTGCCAGGCACTACTGTCGGCACTGAGGGCACAAAGATAATAAGATGTGATTGATGTTATTCAGAAACCCTCTTGCCGGGGAGGTAAATCATTAATTATAACATCAACATTGTGACATAGAGGAAGTGCTGAATGGAAGAACTTGTAAGGCATTTCAGGAATGCCAACGAGGGAATGGATGGGTGTTTCCTGGGCTGGAAAACTTTTACAGAGAAATGGATCTCGGCAAATAATTCATTCACCAGGATGGAAAGATTGGCATGTGCAGAAACCAGAAGCAGGAGTGAACATAGGGAGCTTGAAAAAGATAGCACTGGGGAGCGAAGGCGGGTTTTGCATCCTTTAGTACATCTTGGCTCTCCTGTAGCACCATGAGGCCTTCAAGGGCAAATTCCAATCTTACACTCGTTCATATCCCCAGTCCCATCTGAGTTCCTAGTGAAATGCTGGCACATAGATGAAACTCACTGTTTGGTGAATTCACCTGTTTCCTAAATGTCCCAGAATTCAAAACACAAGAATGACGTCTTCAGCCCTCTGCTGGAGCTTTGAGTTGGGTTATTGCAGTAAACTACTTCTTGGGAGCAAACCGGTGGCTGGGTGGGTTGGGGCAGGCACTGGGGATGCCTGGTGGGTTAGGGGGTTAGGAGCGGGTGAGATGGGAAGTACTTTAACTGGAGAATTCAGCAGTGTCAGAGTCCAAGGAGGAGGCTCGCATTGGCCCCCACTCCCATATTCATTGCTGGACATGATGGTAAGGTGTGAAGAAGGGGAAAACGGGGGCCTGAGGTTTATTTGGGGCTCACAGTGAACGGTCTTGGGAGAGAGACTACCTCACTACAGATCAAGTGGAAGGACTCCTCCTGCCTGTGCTGTGCCATTTGACTTCCTTCTTGCAGCCACCTTTGTTGTCACTAAAGCCTTTCCTGGCATACAGAGGAGGGTCCTGCCCTCTATACCAGTGTGCCTGCTTTCCCCTCCTTTTAAACAGCCCAGCTTCCCTCTCCTGCACCTGCCTGCAAAGAATAAGCCACCCCGAAAAATTCTTCCCCCGTGTTTTTTTTTTTTTTTTTTTTTTTTTGGAGAGAGGGACACAGAAGCTAAATGCTTTGTAGCCTAGTGGATTAAGGCACCTCCTTTACTGCTGGACCCACACACAATTCCCAGCGCATTCCTTACACCACACTTAGGACCTAGGTTTGCCTCCAGGATTTCATGGTAGCTCATGTGCTGCTTTCTAAGGGGTCCTCTGTGTCTCACCTGCCTATAAATTACTGGTGCAGGGACAGTTGCCTCCCTATCAGTGTGGGGCTCCCTGAGGCTTCGAGCTGTTTCGGTCTTCTAAGGTGTTCAAGAATGGCGCTGTGTCTTAACCACATGGCAGTTAGTTGAAAGGTCACCTTATACAAGACAATTGATGAATGACCTGGAACCCAGTTCTCTGAGTCAGGAGATGCATGGACTTCAGCCCTTGAGATCATGTCTGTGAGTAGGAAAAGGGCGTCGTCTTTCCGGCTGGGGCTTCAGAGGATGCTAAAGGGAAAAAAGACCCCCTTTTTTTTTTAGATCCCTTCCATTTCGAAATGCCCGTAATACCTTCCCACCCCGTCATGGCCTCCTTCCTGTTTCTGTCATCCTTACCTGTGTCCCAAGCCTGTTTTCCCTCCTGGGGGCAGGACCAGGGCTGCTCACTATTTCTCTGCACTTCTGCAGAAGGCCCCTTGGCCTGCTGACATACCAGTGAGGCCACTGAACAGGCTACCGAGCCCAGGCCATTGCTACCCTCTGCTGTGCACCAGAATAGGAGCCATTCACTGGTCACTTATTTATTGAGCACCTACTGTGTGCTAGGCACGGGATACAGAGTTTGCGAGTCTCCCCACTGCTGGGCAGTGAGATGCCAGCTCTGAGTGTGAGGGAAGGCAGAGTCAATTGCAGCTTGCAACAGTGAAGACTGTGCATTTATGCAGAACTGCTGCCTGACACCATGAGTCCAGGAAGAAGCCCAGTGGGTTCAGTGTGGGCCTCGTGTAAAGTGCCAGCGATGAGGACAGGAGACATGGAGAAGAGAGTTGGCCTGCCGGCTTGTCAGCACTGACGTCCAGGTGGGAAGAAGCGGCACCACGTCCTCTGGGCAGTCTGCGGTGGGGGCTTTTACTCTGAACCTTGGGCCTCATCCTCTCTGCCTGGGGAGAGTTTGGCATATGAACTGTGGTTATGGGGGGTCTTGTCTGGCTCCTCTACCCATGGTAGTCTTCCCTAGTCTCATTGAAGGCCTTCATCTTCCTAACCCCCCTCTCCTGTCTAGAGATTTCTAGGGCAATGGAATTACAGGCTTGTCTGTCAATTGCTAATGCCTGCAGAGCATGGATGGAGCCCACCTTCAGTTATCCTCTTTAAAGGTGGGGAAGGCTATCTAAGAGTCCCAAAGGCTGTCCTGGGGACATGGAAAGTGCCATGGACCAGGAAACAGGAGACACAGTTTAGTTCTGGCTCTGTTATCGGCTCACTGTGTGACTTTGGGCAAGTAGCTTTCCATCTCTGAAAAGTGATGACAGACTTCTAATATTCCTGCCCACAGCATGCACGGAGGGACATTCATCTCTGTTATTGAGGTGACTTCCATGGCTCTTGAATGGAATGGCTCGAGCAGGTGTTCTATCAGGGGTGCTAGGGAGGGGAGGGGTCCAGAAGTCTGCAGCTCCGGTGGAAGAGGTTAGGCGCCAGGAAGGGCAGACTGGAGCTCAGTGTCTGTGACCTGCTGGGGTACCCACTGCCTGTCCTCTTGTGCCCACTCGCTTGAGCTGTGACCTTTCCCCAACCTGATTCATTTACCCATTTTCTTGCCTGGCCCCCTGGAACCATTTGGGGGCATGGCCCCTGGTAGAAGGTGTGAGCTGATAACTACTTCCAGTGTTACCCCTCCCAGAGTGATCTGCGCTTATTTACAGTTGAAGGCAGAAAATCTCTGAAGAGTAAAGGCATGACTCTCTTAATGATCAGTGATGAGAACTTTGCAAACAGTGAGGGAATAGGGGATGTTCCAAGGCCTGGGAAACTAGGCATAAGTCCCCATGGTTTCAGCTGGCCCTGAGGGGCAGGGGTAGGGGCCGGGCAGAGTGTGCCTGGGTGTGCGGGGAATGGGGAGGGTACAGCTTCAGGGCCACAGCAATTTCAGTCTTGGATCATCAAAGGCACCACCTCCTTGCACTCAACTGCCTCTCCTGGGGGCCTCTCTCTCCAGCTGCCCAGCCCCCACCTTGGAGACTGGCGGCAAAGTGGCCATTTTCCCATGATGCCCTTGCAACCACCAGTGGCCCTTACCTGCTGTGGATGGGCTTCTCTTGCCCAGGAGGCCCTGGAGTATGTGTTCCAGCTGATACACTGGCGGTGGGAGAGAGAAGTGGTAGAGAAGAAAGAGGCAGCAGTGGTGGGCTATCTTGGGAAGCAAGGAAGGGCAGGGCCAGGGCCAGGGCCTTGCAGACAGAATCATTCCTCCATCAACCCAAGAGGTGAGGAAACACCAATGGACTGATTGATTTATTCACTAGTTCTTTCATTGATTCCTTCCTCCATTCTCCCTCTGCTCTCCCTTCCCAAACACCTAGTGGTGCTTCTAACAGGCAGAAACTGCTGGGAACTGGAGATACAGAGGCAACAACAGACTTGATGCCTGTCTGTTGGGGGACTTCCGGTCTGGGGACACCAGCCAGCCATGTGACCCAGGAAGAAAGTGTAGTGCAGTGTGCCAAGGACGGGGTCATGCCAGGTCATGGAGACAAGCTCTGTCTGTGTAGGGCAGGCGGTCAGGGAAGGAAAGCTGGTCAAGATAGGGGCTGGGAGTCAAGTCAGCGAGGCGGTCCTGAAGGATGCGGTGAGTTGTATTAGGGGAATGGACTTGGTCCCGAGAGCACTGAGGGAGTGCAGGGTACAGGCTGGTTTTCTTTCTTTTTTTTTTTTTTTTGAGATGGAATCTTGCTCTGTTGCCCAGGCTGGAGTGCAGTGCTGCGATCTCAGCTCAATGCAAACTCTGCCTCCCGGGTTCAAGCAATTCTCTGTCTCAGCCTCCTGAGTAGCTGGGATAACAGGCACCCGCCACAATGCCTGGCTAATTTTTGTATTTTTAGTAGAGATGGTGTTTCACCATCTTGGCCAGGCTGGTCTTGAACTCCTGACCTCGTGATCTACCTGCCTTGGCCTCTCAAAGTGCTGGGATTACAGGCGTGAGCCACCGTGCCCCGCATGTTGGTTTATTTTCTTTTGATTTTGTTTTTCCCTTTTCGCTGAAAGATTTAAGCAGGGTAGCCCACTCGCAGTGGCTCACACCTGTAATCCCAGCACTTTGGGAGGCCGAGGCGGGCAGACCACAAGGTCAAGAGATCGAGACCATCCAGGCCAACATGGTGAAATCCCATTTGTGCTAAAAATACAAAAATTAGCCAGGCATAGTGGTGCACGCCTGTAGTCCCAGCTACTCGGGAAGCTGAGGCAGGAGAATCACTTGAACCTGGGAGGTGGAGGTTGCAGTGAGCCAAAATCGTGCCACTGCACTCCAGCCTGGTGACAAAGAAGTCTTAGATTTGCACTTCGTTTTTTGGTCTTATTTTTCTTTTTTTTTTTAAGACAGAGTCTCCCTCTGTTACCCGGGCTGGACTGGGCTCACTGCAACCCCCGTTTCTGGGTTTAAAAGTTTCTCTAGTCTCAGCTTCTGAAGTAGCTGGGACCACAGGTGCTCGCCACCACGCCTGGCTAATTTTTGTATTTTTAGTAGAGATGGGATTTTGCCATGTTGGCCAGGCTGGTCTCGAACTCCTGACCCCAAGTGATCTGGCCACCTTGGCCTCCCAAAATGCTGAGATTACAGGCGTGAGCCACTGCGCCTGTTCCAGATTTGCACTTTTAAGATAATCTGGGTGCCAGGGTTTGGAGCTTTAAGCACTCTTATCTCTGGTGGTTTGCTCTTTTTTTTTTTTTTCCTCCATAATTCCAGGCTTTAGACCTAAGGTAATTTTGAAACGTTGGCAGAACTAGAGCCATTGCTGTCTCCTCCTATCCCTACAGCCACTCCTTAGGACCACCCCTCTAAGAAAATAACCAGAAAGCCTAGCATGGCCAAACCACACTGGCCCCGCCCTCTGCACAGCATTGCCAGCCTGGCCTTCCCCTGGACCACCTGGTTTGTTCTCACTGAGGACAACTCAGCCCTCCCCAGGGGGCATGCTGAGGGCAGGTTTGAGCAATACTTACCTTTTTTTCCTCCCTGGCTGGATCAGAGGTCTTCCTGGGGAAGGAGAAAGAAGGAATGAGGACTGCCAACTGCACTGCTTCCCTGGGGGCTTGGTGAGGTGGGAAAGGCTCCAGTTCTTTGGGGGTCGGTGCATGGGTGGGTCTCAGTGGAATTCTAGTCACTCCCGTTATCCTCTGTGGTAATAGGAATGTGCCAGTAGGAGGCAGTGTGGAGCGGCTGGAAAGGCACAGACTTTGGGGTCACTGGCCCCTGGTGCCAGCTGGGCAGGCAACCTTGGGAAAAGTGCTTAACCTATCTGGGCCTTGGCTTCTGTGCTTGTGATAAGGGGGATAGTGTTGTGGAGATTTAATCTTGAGCATAGTAGGTGCTCAAGAAATATTTATCTGACACCCCCATTCCCCGTTCCTCATGGGTTGTTGGATTTGGAAAAGAAGTTTGAAATGGCTCAGTTCAAAACTCATTTTGTAGAAGAGGAAACTAAGGCCAAAAGTGCTTGGTCACAAGTTGGTTTTCTCTATTTTTATATGTGTACTTTTTTTTTTTTTTTTTTTTTTTTAAACAAAAGCAGTCTTGAATACATTCACTATTTTGAAAAGGTTTGTACAAGTACAATTTAAAATCTCTCTTCTCTTTCTCCCCCTCATCTCTACTTCCTGTCCTTGATATAACCACTGTTTACAGTTAGATATTTATCCTTCTAGAACTTTCCCCATGCATTTGGATATCTGTGTGTATGTCATTTTTTTTTCTCCCACAACTGAGCAAACCTTCTGCAGGAAGAGTATGTCATTTTTTAAAAACAAGTAGGCTCCTCTCGAATATTGATCTGTAATGTGCTTTCTTTCTGCTTAACCTTGTACCTTGTAGACCTTTCCATATCTTTCCATGGGTCTGCCTCATTCTCTTTAATGGCCACAAAGGTTAAGGATATGCCTAATATATTTTGACCATTCCTTGATGTTGGTCATTACGTAATTTCCAGATCCTTGGTATTACAAGCATGTTGGCAATGAACAACCTTAGGGCTCATGTAGCAACAGCGTGTCCACCTGAGAAGTGAGACTCTGAGTCAGAAAGGCATGCACATTTCCAACTTTCCTGGAAATTGCCAATGTACCCTCCAATAGTCAGTGTAAAAGTGTCAGTTTTTTCACACCCAGGCAACTCAGAGCGTTACCACTTTAAACATATAATGTTGACAACAGGAAAATAGAAAACTGCTGTGTGTGCAGACTAGTTTCTCCTGGTCCCGCGAAGACAGGACTCCTGAATTGAAAGTGCCCTCAGGGAACACAGGTTTGAGTTAGTAATTCTGTTTGAGCCAAACAAAATTGACTAGAAAGCTTGGCTTGTGGCTTTGCCCACATCCAGACTGGTCTCTAGCTTCACTGCCACTCCCAGAGTCATGCAGAGCATGGAAGGCACGAGCCAGTGTGCAGGGCCTGTGCCCCCACCCTTTAGATGACCATGCTTCCCATTGTTGGGGACAGGCTGGTTTACACCTGTTGCCTGGCGTAATTATTAACACTCCCCAAAGTGTCCTGGTTGGATGATAATTTCTTTTCTTTTTTTGAGACAGAGTCTCACTTCGTTGCCCAGGCTGTATTGCAGAGTGGCAGGATCTCAGTTCACTGCACCCTCTGCCTCCAGGGTTCAAGGGATTCTCCTGCCTCAGCCTTCCAAGTACCTGGGATTACAGGTGCATGCCACCATGCCTGGCTAATTTTTGTATTTTTAATACAGACAGGGTCTCACCATGTTGGCCAGGCTGGTTTTGAAGTGACTCTGAGGTGATTTGCGCACCTCGGCCACCCAAAATGCTGGGATTATAGACCGTGAGCCACCACCCTCCTCCCCCAGCCTGGATGATAATTTGTATAGACAGTCTATGCCACCCCATCTCATGAGCGACCCCTACTGGACTGGAGCACCTGAACCCAGGTCCTGGGCTTTTAACTTAGGGCCTCTGCTCGATGTTGCAGAACCCACACAGGACCCCTGCTTGCTGAGCTCCCACCTGCCATTGTCACTCACCTCCCACTCGCTTCCCCATCAGCCCAAAGAACTGGCTTGCCTTGACCCTCTTCACCTCCCGCAGCTGGAGCTGAATGCTGGGCACAGCGCCTTCCTGAAGAAGCAGAGAGTTCGTGTTAGAGTTGGGAGGTTGTCCAGCAGACGGTGAGGCCAGCCTGGGCAATGACAATCTCAGGAGTAACAGCTCGTGGTCAGCAGACACTCACTCTGGACTGGCATTTGGCGCTTCTGCATATTTTACACAGGACTGTGCATCCTCATCGTAATAGCTAACGTTTCACCTCCTATGTTCTGAGCACATTCATCTAGTAACTAAACGTCACCCAAACACCATGAAAATAGTACCCTAGTACTGTTACTGTCATCATTTTACACATGAAAGCACCAAGACACAGAGAGGTTAAAGAATTGTCCTGCCAGGCGCAGTGGCTCACGCCTGTAATCCCAGCTCTGGGAGGCTGAGACGGGTGGATCACCTGAGGTCAGAAGTTCGAGACCAGCCTGGCCAACATGGTGAAACCCCATCTCTACTAAAAATA